GGGAATTTGACAAAATTCTGAAGGGGATGGCCATTGTTGGCTAGGTCAGGGTTCCTATAGAATACCTTTACTATCAAAAGCAGCACATTCCTGATTCCTAGTTATTGGAGATCACAAGGGGCAGGGTGTTATTGCCTTCCCATCCAGCTTGTGGGTTTCCCTTGAGGCAGAGGATTATCCCCTGTGGAAACACAAGGCTGAATTGGGTAGGCTTTTGGTTTGAGACAGCAGGTCTCTTCTTGTGTTCTTTACAGGAACAAGGAGCATGGTTGTTCTGCAAGGTATTTCGGATCTTGTCCATTCAAGTCAATCCAACTAGGAAAGCTTTCCGGCCAGTTGCCGCTTCCTCTGCAGCCTGCCTGTGGCTGGGCTAAGAGTGGTTGGTGCATCACTCCAGGATCCAAGGCAAAAGGACTGCCAGTGCCACTTGCTGAGGAACACGAGGAGGAGGAGATGATTGCATTCCTGTCCTACTCATGGGCTTCCCACTGAGGCACCTGGTAAGCTGCTGAGAGAACTGAATGCTGAAATAGATAGTCCTTTGGTCTGATCCAGCAGGGCTTGTATCTTCTCACAGACAGCTAGTAAGTTCATGGCAGAGGTGAAATGCAAAACAGGGATGTCACAGGGATGTAAGAAGATCCTTGGATTAGACCAAGGTCCATCTACTCCAACAAGCTGCCCATGGGGAATCCACAAGCAGGACAGGCATGCAACAGCACCCTCCTACCTATGTTCCTTAGCAACTGCTGTAGATGGATACTTGATACTGGAGGTATCACAGAGCCATCAGGATAGCCTCCATGAATTTGTCCAATTCCCTTTTAAAGTTGACCAAATTGGTGGCCATCACAACATCTTGTGGAGTGAATTTCACAGTTTAACTATGAGCTGGGTGAAGAAGCCTGTCTTGATTCAAATGCTATACTCGCTCTCACTAGGCAGGGTTGCCCAGAGCAAAAGCAATGTAGTATAGTATAGCTATATCTGAGACCGGTGGCTCCTTGACTGTTTTAGTTGCTCACTGAATAAAAGAAGTGAGAGTTGACTACTTTAATTAGGTTCCAGCTATTTACCAACTTTGCCTGTTTGACAAGAAGCCATTGTAGTAATTAGGAACATGATGGGTTATAACATTCACTTAAATCATTTGATTGTTCTTTTGGGTTTTGCCAACAAGGATGTGTGAAAAGAGGTTAGGGAATTAGTTGAACTGAGACAGTGTCTAAATGAAAAACCAACATTGTTTCTATAGAGGATTGGCTTAAAGAATATTGAATACACCTTGTATGAGAATGCAAACCTACTAAATTAGATTTTGAAAGGATAATAACTATACATTTGCTGAAGGAAAAGGAAACTCAGTTCTTATATTTCTGGAATTTGAGATATGAACAATAGTTTCTTTAGAAATGCTCGAGTATTGAGAGCATCTTATTTTATTTCTTTTAAACTCTGTGCTTATCGTCTGGATCCTTCATCAAGGTCTCCAGGCAGAGCAATCCTATGGACCTTAGGAAGTATGGTGGGGGGAAACAGATGTAGGGCTACATAAGCCTTTGGTCTGATCTGGCACAGTTCTTATATTCATATTCCATAGAACATCACTATATGCCATTGTGTTCTTTCCTCCTATTTGAAAGCATGTGGATCTTAAAATCATTATCAATTTGTTCTACATCTTGATCAGATACGTTTTGGTGAGCTCAGGCAGTTCTGGGCCTTCAAATAAAGGGCAGCCAATCAGAACTATGCAAGCAGTAATAATGGGAGGAAAGGAACCCCCTGGTTGTTGCACTTGCTTGTTTGCTTTATCAGTGAGTTATTTAACCTCCTGGGGGAATTGCATCTCTTTACTGAAGTTTGTATCATTACAACATTTGTCTCTTTGCCTGACCCTGCTCAGTTTCCCCTATGCTTTTCTATCCAGCCTAAACTATATGGCCAATCCATGTAGTCATTTATCCCACGGTGAACCCTTTGGCTGGCTCTTCAGTTTTAGAGACTGTTGAATGCATGTTGAACAGACTGTCCAATTTGCAAATCGTAAGATCACTCCATCCCCGCAAACCACGGAGTGACAACACGATGATCTTGGTGGAGCAGTCAGAGAACCATCACAATGCGTGTTTAAGGGTGAGAATGCAGGGCCAGCCTGTGCGCTCCGAGATCTCAGGCAAACGAGTTGAATTCCAGCTCCCCAGCGCCAACCTCTGCATGGCGATATTGACCTCTGCTGGATGAAACAATCCATTAAGGTGATAGAGGGAGTCTCAGATGAACATCCCAGATTTTGCAAAGCAGAAACCCACATCCCATGTTTTGAATATATTCAACAGCAGATGCATCCACTCTGTTTGCATGCTTTGCTATGAGAAGAGGGCAGTCTGGAGTGGGAGAGAGCGCATGTATTCCAGCAGCGTGTCATGCTTGCTCACATTTTTCAAAAAGTGGTTCCGTGCACCCCATTGAGCTTCCGAATTGGGTTGCTGCCACCTTTAATTCTCTCCCCAAGCTGATGGCCTCCCTCGCCGCGGTTTTGTCTCTCTCGCTCCCATAAAGAGAGAGGCCACTGCAGAGCAGCTTGATGCGGGTGTGTTTTATATAGCTGAAGGGGTGAGCAGGTGGCCATTACCCTGCTACGCAGGTGGCGGCATAAAGCCGAGCAATAGAACATTTGGGGATGCATTGTGGCCTCTCTCCTGGGGAATCGCGTTCTCAGCCACTAAGGCAGGCAAGTGGGGTTATGGTTGTTAGCCAAGATTTCAGTTTACATTGTTAAGGGTTTCTGCCGTGGCCGTGCGCCATTTCCTTTGTGAGGGAGTCATTGGGGAGACTGGTGGGAGGAAGAGGGATAAAATGCCAAAGCCGGTGCAGAGAGGCAAGCTTGGAATCAAAGGGACAAGAGCAGGCCATTTCGGCACTCACCTGCCTACCTGCAGTCTGCTCTCTGTGGGGGGGGGGGGCAGGTGCTTTGCTGGGCATATGTAATTGAGTGTAATTAACTCCTGCTCCAGTTTTCAGATGGGCAGAGTTATTAGTTTTTGTACAGCTGAGTGGTCTGGGGAGTGTGGTCAGAGGCCCATCCTGTTCACATGCATTGAGCTGTGATGCAGTGGAATGACTGGCCCTGTCTCAGAAAGGCTTCTAGTTGGTAGGCAGGAGAATCCCACAGGAAGAGCTTGGGAGAGCAAAGACGAGCACCGAAGCATTTCAGGCTGGAATCCCAGTCACTGATTCCAGAGTGCAACCTGCCTTGAATACGATCTTCTTCCCGCCAAGGCCGGGGCCCACTGACATCGAAGGGTGATGGGGGGATATGGGACGATGGTCTGCAGGCCCAGCGATGGACACAGATTTCAGCTGGCTCAGATGCATTGGCAGAAGTAGACTTCCCTGTCCCGTCCTTCCCAGGGCAGCCCCTCTAGCTCCCAGAAATGCTTCACAAAAGACTGCTCAATAGGGTGAGCTGTGTTGTGGAGGGAGAGGAGATTCCCCAAAATTGTGCAGGAGAATTTACATTAGCAGTACCCTCCACTCCACAGAAGGCAGAATCCAGATCCAACCAGAATTGTGGACATTTTTAAAAGAAACTGCAAAACGGCTGAAACCAAGCATTTACCCAGATAGCTTCCTATAACATTAAGGGACATAATTGTGTTAGGATGAGCATGCTGGGTGTACAAAGTAACAATTTTACCACTAACAAAGAAATGAAGAAGAACATTAATCATAAAAAGACTTTGGTTTAACCTTATTTTGGAAGAAACCCTGCCAAAGAACCCAGTGGACCTTACTTCTGAGTATTCGTGAGACGTGAATGGGAGTGAGCTGGAAATAAAATTACTCACAAATACTTCAGATATTGCTTTGATGACAGTTGGCACTGGAAATATAAGACTGTGGAGATTCTGAAATATTTTGTGGAAGAAGTACACTTTGAGGAGAAGAGGAAGTGTCTTGTTGGCAACCGAGCGAGAGGCCTTTGGGAATACAGGGTGGAGGATGCAGAACAAGGCACAGAGGAGCAGGGAGAGAAGAAAGCAAAAGGAGTGAGTCTACAGCAGTCCAACAAAAAGGAGATGGGGGAAAGGGGAAGGCCACTCGGGTCACAATCCTTTGCATGTTTAGACAGCAAAAAAGGTCTACAACTCCCAGCTTGCCCCAGCCAGCCATGCCTTTTCTGTTTATAGGTCTTTTTCCATTCAAACATCCATAAGATTGCTCCTTTCATTGGGGCAGAGAGGCAGACAAAACGAAACAGAGGAATAAGAGAGCCTTTCCCAGCCTGATGTCCTCCACATCTGCTGGGCTACAACTCCCGTACCCTTGAGCATTTATGTCCAGGCGGCTCACACAAAACAGAAAGGAATCCTCTAATACCACCTGGACCTCCGCAACCCATCTGTGTACATTTTCTAAAATGAATGTATCGGTGCAGAACCTGAGAATGCTGATCTGTACCAGATACCTTAGCAAAAGAGGTAGGCGGTGTAAGGAGAATAGCCATACTGTTGCTGTCTCTTCCATAAATAGCTACCCACTTTCTCAAGAGCAAGCAGCAGTCTGGTTGTGACTGTTGGGCAAGTTTGCCTCCCTTGCCTCTTCTAGTCCCTTCTGTCAACAGAGCTCAGAGGTGGCTCTGAACCCTGGGCCAAATACAGGAAACCCCCCTCCCTCTTTCCAAGGAAGGTTATCTGCTCATATAGCCCTCTTGCCTTTCTGTCACTCTCAGCATCCAGAACAACTCTGTGGTAAGTAAAATACACTGGTGGTAGTAATGGAGTTTATTCAGCAGGCAGGTTGCTTGTCTGGGCCATAGACCTCCTCCTGCCTCATGTGCATTTAAGAGGAACCCATGGAATTGTTTCCTTCTGCTAAAGAAATTAGCACAGATCATATTAAAGGGAGTGGTGGGAGAGTAGAATTCGACCTGTGGGACACAAGGCGACACCAAGGGATTGAGCCAGGGGGCTTGGACAGTTCCAGTAGTAAGATCGTTACTTGTCAGCCACCCAAACTGCTGTCAAGGCTGCCGAGGCTTCTCGCAAGAGGGGCTGCAGAGTTTTCTTGGGTACCCTCAGTGTCACCCCATTAATGACGGTTAAGAATGTCACTCTTGTGCTGGGAGCATTCTTTCGGCTCCTGGTCCAGCTCCGTTCTCCAGGCTTCCACTGGTAAATGGTGTTCCCTACCAGCACGTGAATCCTTCTCTGCCACTGCACAGCACAGGGCGGCAAGACCAGGATGGGAAGTTCTGGGATGAAGACGTCGTGGCTCACTGTGCCGTCCTTGCTGAGGAAAAAGCACTTATGCGTGCCGGAGATCAGAGCCCGGATGACGGTGCCGGGGGTCTCCCGGCAGCTGCTTTCCTCCACCAACCCGCCAATGACAAAGATCCCGTTGTTCATGGCCACCGCAGTGGACTTGTAGCACTGGAAGGCCAGAGGCACCTGATTCCACACATTGAGGCCCGTGTCATAGATCAGGATGCCCCGGTGAGCAAGGCCACTTGACCTGGTATGTGAGAACCCCCCGATCAGGTACAACTGGTTCTTCAGTGTGGCCGAAGCAAAATGGCTCACTGCAAATGGCAGGCTGGCAATGGGCGACCAAGACTCTCGCACCAGGTCAAAGCTCTCTGCAGAATCAAGCACACTCCGGCCACTGCGCCCTCCCAGGGCGTACAGTTTCTGCTTACAGGCTAGAAAGCCGTGTTCTCGCCTGGGGACAGACATGGAAGGCAGCTGAACCCACTGGCCTGTGAGGGCATCAAACTCGTGCAAATTGCCCAAGACAGAGCCATTGAGCCTTTGGCCCCCCGAGACGTAGAGTTTGTGCCCCACGGACAGGAAGCCGGAGGAGTCGAGATACATCAAGGGTGGGATCTCCTCCCAACTTTCTGTCTGTAGGTTGAACCCCAAGAAGTGAGTCTTCAGGCGCTCAACAACTCCGCCTTGCATGTTGCTTACGAAGAGGCCCAGGCTGACGATCCAGTCATCATACATGCCGTGCCTGAGACCTCCGCTCCTCAGCAGCCTCCCTGCTCCATCAAGCTGCTCCCACTGCAGGTGAGCATGCCCGTATTCTGCGAGGATGTCCTTCTGGACGGTCATGATCTCCTCGGATGTTAGAAGGGGGAGGCGGACCTGTCCCAGCAGCGTCTTGATCAGTGAGAAATGCGTGGCTGGTTGAGACCTCACCCAGTGCTGCACAGCATGGTAGACAGTCAACTCGGAAGACACCAGGAGCTTGTCTGAGGACAGGATGCTGATCACTGTACTAAGGTCCAGTTCCGGGAATGCGTCATGTTCAGAAAGGGACTCAAAGTTTAAGGTGATGTGGTGTGTAGCCACACGAAGTAAAGCTTGGTGGTTGTGAGCATAGGCCAGAGCATAAATCCCTAGGCAGCTGTCCATAGAAATGCTGTCAGCAAGGAATCTGACAAGAACAAGAAAAGAAAGGAAGGTTAATGGGAAACTGCTGAGGAATTTTGCTTTGCAGTGCTGGAAGGAGTCTTTGGTTGAATCTTCTGCGTGAGGAAGGACTCTGCTCATATCAGATTGCTCTGCCTAATTTTGGAGGATCCTTTGGGGGAGGTGGTTGAAGCCCCAGTGGTGAGGGTGTTCAAGGATCAGCTGGACATGCACATGGTAGACATGTCATGAGCAGAGCCAGCTGAAGCTGGGGGTCAGACTAGATGGCCCGGGAGACCCCATCTGACTCACTCTGTTTCTATGCTTCTCTTCCCACATCACAGCTTGGTTCCCCACTCACCCAGTCTCCTCACCATGGGAACCTTCTCAAAGGTGGGAGGTGTTTCCCCGGGAAGGAGGGGGCAGGAAGTCAAGTTGTGCCAAGTCAATCAGTCTATGTTAAATCTGGATGTAACCCTTCTTCTTCATTCTCTGCCCACTGGCCTGTCCTCTGGCCATTTCTGCCTGCCCCAGAGACCAAACCATGATTTCTAAGATGGGTTTGCAAAGCGGGTTTGAAAAATATGCAGTATGAGGGCTCAGGTGAACTCAGAGTTCTTTATATCTGCCTCCAGACATCCTCTGGGTGGTATGAACCTTTCTTTCTCTGCCTCAGCTTATTCTTCGAAGCCTGGGTGTTCAGCCCATGGTTGTGTGCCTCATGCAACCCCCAGAGCTGTAATTATGACCCCGTGGCCCCAGCTACTGGCAAATCCCCACAGATGACCACACAGATGCCCCCTTTCCTGCCAGCAGTGAGGCGAGAGTGGTCTGTGTCGGGGTCGCTGAGAAAGGCGATGTGGCTGAGAGCTGCCTTGCCCTCCAGTGCCTGATTTCACTGTCTCTGTGGGACCTTGCAAAGGAGGGGATAGTTGTGTGTGTGTGTGGGGGGGGTACATGCATGTGTGAGTGTGTGTGTGAGAGCATGCTTGTGCATTCCTGTGAGAGGGCATCCTCTGCCCTGCCAGCCAACTGCACATGTGGTGCTGAGGGCCACAATGTTCTGCACCCCTGTTTGAAGGAGCAAGAAAGTGGACATGCATTGCCTCATGGAGTTCATGGGACTAAGTGAATGAATGGATCTTAAGAATCCAAGTTCTTTGGTGGGGGGGGAGTATAAAGGGGATGAGGAATTGGAAATGAGGAAGGGAAAGGGGGCTTGGGGAGTAGCTGGTCAGGGCTTGGAAGGAAAACGGCTGAAGCAAGCCAGCCTAAGCAAAGATTGGGCATGAGAGTGAATAAGGAATAAATAACAATCTGTGAATGAATAAAGGGCCTCCAAGGAACATTGGGAATGAAATATGCCAGAAAGATAAGAGTTGGGCCAGAGAACTGAGGAGAATTCCCATGCTATTTAGCATTTTTGGGAGGGTGAGGGCTTCTCTAAATCAGGCTTTTAATCCACCGCTTCCAGTTCTGAATTCTTTGCAGGATTAATGATGGTCCCTACCATAGGTTTTTTTTCTTTCTTGGCTTGTTTATATGTTCCATTAAATAACCACAAGGTGGCGCTGTGGCATAATGGCACTGAAAAAGTGCAGAAGCTTCTTGTTCTAGTTTGTAACACCATTTCAAAATAATACCTCCCTTTCCTTACTCTTAAAAAATGCTGTAGACATGCTTGGGAAGCACGAGAAAGGCCCTGGAGGATGGAGACATCATGGAAAGCACCTGCCCAATTACTGTGCATGGGGAAATCAAGCGTGCACTGTAAATGACTCACGTAGAGAAGACCTGGGGCTAGAGGCAAAAGAAAGGGTCTCTGTGCATTTAATGTCCATTCTTCCTGATTCCCCACTTTCATTGGGAAAATCCTCTCAGCTGCAAGGAGGCATTTGGCTGCCAATAAACTGCTATGAGGTGGTGGAGCTTCCCCAGTGATTGCCTTGAAATGAATTTCATTCATAGGCAGTGGTGCCATTTTTGGATACTAACATCCCTTGTGAAACCCCCGAACTGAGATAGTCCTGCCTGAAGCAAGGGTTTTGCCATTCTTTACTGGCTTTGCTTGAAGAGGTCAAATATGTACTGCCCAAGTGAAAGGAAATGCCAAGCAAGAAATGCCAAGGTGCAGAAGTCTCCCTTATCCAAGATGGCAATGAAGATTCCAGCTTACTTTATGCATGCAAAGAAAACAAGCACGGACTACTCCACCCACCAGAGATTGGTGCTAGGTTCAAACACATATCTGACTGCTGCTTGGTATCTCAAGTGCTTCTTGTCAATTGCAGACTTGTTTAAATAAATGGGCATTCTCAGGGGACGTTGGTAATTCCTTTGTCAGGCTGCTCCTGATCCACTGCAGCTTGCCTTTGAGCTTTAGATGAGCTATCCGTGGTGCAGAACTCCACCCCCAAAATAGGTTCACCACTATGGAGCACCGAGGAGAACGTCTACAAAATTAATGCTGCAATGGATCCCCCCCCACCCCCCGCCACCCATTGTCGTGGGAGTCACCATGCCCTTCCATGGGCACTTTCTAGAAGCATTTTTCTCTTATGGCTATTCAGCACTCGTGGCTTCCTCTCTCAAGGACATCTACCTAAACGAAAGGGTGCAGAACCTCACCATCAGAGGCCAAAACCAGGCCTCCTGGGCTCACCAGATGGTCACACCCCTCCACATTCTATAATATTGAAATGCCTCTCTGGAGGCTTAGCTAGAAAGCTGTCATATGCTTAAAGCATTTCTTCTACTTTAGTCCCACCCTAAGGACTTTCACCCCACTGCTTTTGCCTGTGGCCCCACCAACTGCAGGAATACCCCCCGCCCCCACCTCCCATCCCAGAGCTTCCCTGAAATTGAATTTGGCCCTTGGTCTGAACCAGGTTCCCCACCCCTGCACTAACCAAGCAGTTCCAGCTCCAAACTAGGGTCCAGTTTAGCCAGTCCTGTCTGTGTTACCTGCCGATAATCTCCTGTAGTGGGAGGATGACCAGCCTACTTGCTGCTGTAAAGAGGTCTTGAGCAGTCTCTGGCGTAAGCAAGAGTTCCCCAGTGTAGAGATAATGAAGAATCTTCTGAAGGATGCAAGAGGCCATCTCTTCAAACACAACTTGCCTTTCCCAGCATTCTCTGAAGGGTCTGGTGAACATGGCATGGAAGTAAGGGCTGAATGAAGCCAACAGTGCCCTAGAAATTGAGACAGCAGAGAATAAGACCATAAGAAGAGCCCTACTCAAGCAGACCAAGGGTCCATCTCGTCCAGGATTCTGTTCACACCATGACCAAGCCGCTATATCAGCTATGAGAAACCCACAAGTAGGACATGAATGCAAGAGCATCCCCCATCTACGTTCCTCGGCACCTGCTGTACATAAGCATATGACCTCTGATAAAGGAGCTCTCATTTAACCATCAGTAGCGATTCATGTAGTCTTCTCCTCCATGAACTTGGCCAAGCTCTTGTCAAAACCATCCAGAATTGTGTCATCACTGCATCTCAGAGAAGGGAATTCCTCACTGTGGGGATGCACTGTGTGAGGAAGTGCCACCTTTAATCTGTCCTGAAACAACTTTGTCAAAGCGGAACTTGATCTCCTGTTAAGCACAAAGGGCCTAAGCTCCCTGGGTTTTGATAAGATCCCTCTAACAGGAATGTCAGCTGCTCAGAATGGAATAACTCTCAAGGACGCCCTATCCAGCTTTCTCAATTACCCTTGTTTGGAGGCAGCTGCAAATGCTCAGCATCTCCTGCAAACTGCTACTAAACCAGGTTAATTTGTCCTTTCAGCTTGCACTGGGCCACTGCGCACAATCACAGTGGGGGAAGCCATGCTTGTTTATTTCCTCCACTGCACACACTGGCTGGATTTTTCTAATTACCCTTTTTGCTGCAGCTTGCCATGTCTTCTGAACCTGTGGGGTATGCTTCATTGTCTGGCTGGTGGGAGCCGTAACCCCAATATAACCCATCCATAGCCTATGGAGTATTTGTTAACCATGGATTGTTAACCACACCACGGTTGTGCAAAGTGGGTCACTGAGTATTTTCTTTCTGCAGCAATCTGCCAGGAGGGGAGCAGTGCCAAGCAGATCAACAAGGGAAGACATGGGCTTTCAAGTAGGTGATGAATCTGATCTGGCTTCACTTCATAAGTGCAACAGTCCTCCACAGGTTGCTGGTCAGGTTGGTGGAGAAATAGGGCATGAGAGAGGCATTTTTTACATGGACAGAAGTACTGAGCTGTTCACAGTTTCACGAGGCAGAAGATCAACAGAAAACCTCCCTGCTGGAAGAGTACCAGACGCTGGGGGACAAAAAAAAAACAGGGAGAAGCCACCCTCTTTGTGGCCTTCTTGTGAACACTTCGAGGTATCTGATTGATCAATGTTGGAAACAGGATACTGGGCAAAGGTTTCAAATTAACTTGAATTAATTTGGCCTCTATTTAACCTGGTGGATGAAGGTGGGATAAATTCCAAGTGCAAATAGGCCACTGGAGCCCAAAGATATTTTAGCATGCTGGATGGTCTGAGTGGATTAGATCCATGATTAAATCCTACTTTAAACCAGAAAGGGGAAAAAGTTCTTTTAAATTACTGTTTTGTATCAAACTTCCCTTTGAAACTTTTTCATATGTTTCCTGAACAATGGTGCAATTCTGACGAGTAAGTCATCTTAATTTACTGCCGAGTATGATGTTAATTACAATGTTTCATTCTTACAAGCAGACTTTGCATCTCTGTGTCCTAATATATTTTTTGCATGCTTCCTAGAAAATGAAGGTCTTAAAATATTCCCATACATGTTTTTTCATATGAGCAGCAGTCACGATACTTTGCTGTTACTAACAGGATCTTATATATGTGCCCCCATAAATAATTTCCTGACTTCTCTGGGGCTTGCTTTCAGGTTAGAGGGTATAAGATTTCAGCCTTCACATGAAGATCCAGGAAGATGCCAATTGCACAATTTTGCAGTGTTGTTCCTTTCTGCTTCACTCTGTCCAGTGCCAGTTTGCACCCCCAAAAAGTGGGGGGGGGGGCGGCTTAACTTCAGGAGGCATTTGTTGTGTGCTTATTGTCCTTCACCCACTGAAGTATGCGAGCATTTTCATGATGTCCCCCTGCAATGGTTATCCCACACCTTTTAGCTGCTTCTCCTGCCTTTTCCCCAGCACATGGAAAATGCATCACTGTTACTGCTGCTTTCAGCTTGCCACCAAACTCCACTTTGTCACAGAAGTGTGTCCTGCTATTCATGGGGAGGGGCAGGGGGGGTTGTGATGCCAGCAGCAATGAGGTAGTGGCACTTCCTGCCCCGGCTTGTTCTGCCCCTGCTGCTCTGGGAGTTTGCAACAGGCCTCTCCTCTCCTGTCATTTCTTTCTGCATGCTGAGTCCAGTGCAGCAGCAAAAGGGAGGAGTCCTTGCTGGGAACAGGAGGTCCTTGGTCTGCCGGTCATGGGGGCAAAGGCTAGGAAGGCAGGGAGGTAGGAGGAAGGATACGAGGGTATTCCAGGACCCTCTGCAAGGTCAGAGATCCTTCAATTGTTTTCCTGCCCCCCTGCCCGGCCATCTCTCTTTCTCTCGCTCTGACTTCCAAATGTGTGGGGTGGGGATGCAGAAGGATGGGTGAAATCTTGAGCACAGAAGAGATAAGCAAGTACCCAAATGGGATGATTGGCCCACATACCATTCCTCTGGCTATGGCACTGCACTGTTTCAGGTGTCCCAAAGACTACGGACTCTCAGCTTTTTCTAATTAGATTGTACATCTAGGGTCTAAATCTCTGCCATTCCACTGGGTTCTGAAATGTCACATAAAGCCTCCTCAGACCTCGTTCCCACTGTTAGATTCATTGGCTGGACTGGGAATGGCAGTATGGAATTATGGAATTTGCAGTCCATTACATTTAGAAAGCACTAGATTCGGGGACATAACAATAACCCTTCCCTGATGTTGTCCATTCCCTGTGTCCAGGATCCAGGTCCTCTAAGTCTGGAAACCTGTCCATCGATAGATCTATCCTCTGCGGATGGGGCTGATCCCTTTTAAGACCATCTAGGCCATCAACATATTAGGGAACAATGCAATCCATAATTATGTGCTGAATGAAGAAATGCTTCATTTGGTCTGACCAGACGCTTCTGTCAGTCAAATTTTATTGGGTGAACTTGGGCTGTAGTATAAGAAAGAGTGGAAAACAATTCTGTATCTCCTTTCTCCACACCACAGACAATTTTATCCATCTTAGCTATAAACCACAGTATCTATAAGCCTCTGCTCATATGATCTGGTGTAGAATCCACCCTAATCTTAAAAGGAAACAGCTTGTGTCAGACAAGAATGACAGAACTGAAACTCTGATTGGCAGAAGAATCCGAGTCTGGCTTGTTAGGGGAAGTGATGCGGTGGGGCCATTGTGACCAAGATTATTACACGCTGTGTCAGCAGCTACGGTGCCCCCCAAGCTGAAGCATCTCGATGCCGAGACAGGTGCTCTGCTGTGCTCATTTATGCGACTTCACCACTCTGGGCAAAGCACTCATTTGCTGACTAGCAATAGCAGCCTAGCTTGTCAGGCCAGTATTGCCCAGCAGGCTAGGAGACCAGCAAAAGCCAGAAACCCACCTGTGGCAAGGGAAATTCTTTCCTTCAGCTACCAAGATGGCATCACAGAGCTGCTGGGTCTCATAGAGCCGCTTCAAACCTGTAAGGATGGGGAGACAAAGTCAAATCGGTGGGTTGGACCTTGACCAAAAACAAGTTCCCATCTGAGTGATTATGCACAGAGACTCTAAGAGCTGATGCAGAGGTCCTGTTTCCAGCATTGATCCTGTTCTGAGAGCACTTTAAGACCAACTCCACTATACTATGCAAGTTAGGACTAGAAAATTAATGGCCTTGCGAGAAACTCCTTGGATTTCGTCTGTTGTTTCAACTTTCCTTCTGCTATGAAGACCAGAAGAGTAACTTCAACAGGACACTGTGCTGATGGGATCTATTGCCATTCAGGGCACAAATCCAGGGCACCGCAGCTTCAAATGACTTCCAAATCATGGCACTCTAGAACACAGAATGTTCTCTCACAGCATATGAGAATGGTACCTACATCATGGGGCTGAGAGGTGGCTTCCAGCTGAGAGCAGGAATTAATAAGCTTCATGGAGATAATGGACATATCTGTCACTCCCTGATATAGGTGTCATTTTAATAGGGAGTAGTTCTGAAAATCCCAGATGTTTGTAAATCAACCTCTAAAGTCTAGATCAGGTCTAGTTATTTGTATAAGGATGAAGCCCCACAGGCAGATTCATGGGTCTGAAGCATGCCGTAACCAATGAATGGAGTGCTTCCACTGTCAGAGGAAAAATAAAAGTACCAGGGAAAGTAGATTGTGTACGGCTAATGAGAAAAAGCTCTTACTCTTCTGTAATTTACTTACCCTGAGTCATGTAATGTCCGAAAGAACTAAACTTCACATATATATCATCTTCTTCAGCACTCTCCTGGTCCTTTTTGGTCTCCATATTCCAAGTTTAAGAATCTCTGCAAGAAGGATTCCTTCTCTGATACTCATCAGCCTCTCATTGCTAGGGCAGAAGAGAGAGCTTACAATCAGCAAGAAGATATAAATAGCAGCCTTGTGTAAATTAACATACACATTTATTGAGGATCTTGAGGACCAGGACATACCAGCTTCAGGCCAAATATCCTCACACATACTCTGACATCCTGAGACCCATTGTTGTACAGTACCTTGGAAATTTGGAGGATTTTCACTGAAGCCTCATCTTGCCATTCTGAGCGAGGTGACCATTGATAATCCATGTTGATAACAGCCTTGAAGTCAACCCTAATCTCTTCCCTTTTCTTCAGAGCACAATTGATGGCACAGTGATAATATTCCCTGGGTCCTGCCTTCATTGAGGGCTTTCTTTCTTTACTAACCCTTGAACTAGCCTTGCAGCTCAAGAGAGGGCAGAGAGCATAGCTCAGCAGCAGAGTACGTGCTTTACATGCAGAAGATCTTGGGCTCAGTCCCTGGCATCTCAAGTTTGAAAACAGAGTTAGGCTACAGGGGGTGGACAAGTCCTGTGCCTGAAACCCAGGAGACCTGTCTGAGCAAACAATACTGGGCAAGATGACTTGGAATAAGGCAACTTTCTATTTTCTAGGAGCAAGAGTAAAACTGACATGTTACCTGTGACACTTCCAAGGTTGAATTTATAGATCCTGCCTCCTTTTTCTACCCATTTATTCCCAGCTGATGTTCCATAGGTCTTCAGTTCAACTAGCTACTCTAAGAGCAAGCCCTGGCTTCAAAATGGTGCTTGTACCTGAGACAGGGATTTGGTGTTTGGTACCCACTTTGGGTTGCAACAGGGTCTGGAACAAATCTTCATGCAGAAGTGCTTCCCCAAAACCAGTGGACAGGAAATACAAAGGAAAAAAATGGCCTAGGGATATACAATATAGATTTTAGCACATAATATGAGACAATTTCATGGAGGAAATGGGCTTGATGTTCTGATTTGGGTTTCTGGCTGCTGGTAAAACCAAAGAATTTAGTCCATTGTGGCAAAAGCCAAAGGGCAGAGCATAAGAACAACCCTAGTTCCCAAAGGATAGCTAGACCCCACCCATTGTGACTAAAAGCCTTTAAACACACTCGCATCAGCCAATCAGCTGTTAGTCTTTTACCTTCCTCATTTCTTATTTGCATATTGTGGGCCACCTTTTCCAGACTGTGGTCTGAGTTGGTGACCTGATCATCAAGGGGTAGGTGCAGAAACATAATCTCTTTTATATGTAGCTCTTTCTGGAAGTTTAACCTTTATGAGTGGGGTTCAAATAATGGAATGCATGTGTTTAAAAGGAAAGGAGACCTGGCCACTTCTGTGTCCTGGAAGCCGGGAGGGGGGGTCTTGCAGGTCATGTCTCCATGGGGGTTAGCACAAGGTGTTAATACCCTCAGGGTGTCTCCACCACCCTCCACCAGGATATGGGGAGTCTTGGAGCTGAGTTGCCAGGTTGCCAACTAGGGGTGCTGGAGACCAAGGACCAACAGAGCTAATGGAGCACAGAAGACATGAGGCAAAAAGTCACTCCTGAACTGAGGTGAAATTCTTTCAGGATGCCTCCATAGCAGAAACAAACCAGAAACGCCACAAGGATTATCTGGGAAGCCCTATAATGAGAGACAGAAGTCACAAGAAGAGAAGACTGGGGAGAGATTTAAGTCCCTCAAATGTGGTCACAAAAAAGAAGGCCAGGATCTCTTCTCTATGATCCCAGAGTGCTGGACATGGAATTATTATTATATTTATTATTAATAATTAATAATGATTAATAAATAATAATGGGATCAAGTTACAGGAGGCCAGATTCAGACTAGATATCAGTAAAAGTTTCCTCACTGTCAGAGCAATATGACAGTGGAACCAGCCACCTAGAGAGGTGGTGGGCTCTCCCACACCAGAGACATTCAAAAAGAAACTGGGCAGCCATCTGAGTGGGATGGTGTAAACTGGTGTCCTGCAACAGCAGGGGGTTGGGTCCAATGGCCTTCATGGCCCTGGCCAACTGTACTATTCTATGATTCATTCTTCACAATATGGAATATCTACCCAGGGTACTGGCAATACTAGGCTCTCATATTTCAAGATGGAATATGTCATATTTCTATCGAAGTCATGGTGATTCTTTCTAAATATACAGTACATGCAAGTGTTATGCAAACCACTGTCCCCTTTTATCCTCTTTTTGGTGGCCACCTTTAACCAGGCAATGAACCAGCATGATCTGCCACTGCATCATGGGACTGCCCCCACTGGCAGCTACAAGCCCCATGGAGAGGCTGTCCTCCTTCAGGTGGGGCCACCAAAGGTGCTCCTGCACAGCCAAGTCATGCACAAAGGCTGCAGTATCCATCAGGTGGACGACCCGAACTCGGGCAGGGCACCCTCTTGCCAGCACGGTGTGGGTGGTGGCCTGGGAGCCCCGCACAGCCAGGGCCACCCATGTGGCAACAAGTGAATCTGAAGCATGACAGCCCTGCATGGTGCATCGTTGCATAAATTAGGACTTCAGGAATGAGCTGTGTGAGGGTGATGGCAGATAATTTTTGCACTATTGCTGTCCTGTTGTAGCAAGAAGAATCTCAGGTCTGAGCACATCACTCTGGCGTGCATCCCGTGTGCCGCACTCACTTTGCCAGATGCTGCAGCCAAAAGCACTTAGTTTTCACCTGGAATAAGCCATGCGGTAGATTTAGAAATTCAGATTTTAATTGCCTGACTGATCTTCCTGCTGGTGGTTGGCCTCTCGTTAAAAAATGCCACCCAGCAGTGTGTGAGCTTGGTGTCAATGACTGTATGTACATCCCCATCTGGCTCTATAATTACTATCTTCACATCAGCAGAAGAATGTTAATGGGTAATATGTAAACACAAAATCTTTTATGTTTACCTAGCAAACATCTGGATGGAAAGCTTTGGATAATCTCTTTGACTGGGGTGGAAAAGCAAGGGTGAGATTGTTGGGAACTAAACCAGGAGGGCACCGACAGAAGCTCTGCATGGGGGCAGGACTGGAATAGCATGGGAGGTGAGAGAGCTGAAGGTGGGAGGGAAGGGGGGGGGGAGAAAGAAAAAAAAGGTGCACGGTGGGCAAACAGGGCTAGAACATTACAAATTCAGATCTGTTTCAGAGGATATGCTAGCAACACATCAGTGCAACACAGGGCCCCTCTGCATCTTGTTTGCCTCTTGGTTTGCAAACCTTTTACAAGGATAAAAAATATGGCATGCTTCATCAGAGCTTGCAAGAACATGCTGTCCACAAACACTTGGACTGTTTAGTTATCCTCTTTTTTATTAAAGATTTGTTCATTTTTGTTGTTTATTCATTTGCTTCTCATTCATTTGTATAATGGATTTGGAACGAGTTCATTGGGTTTTGTTGTTCCCATTCACTTTAGTTTCTCATTGTTTTCTGAGGGAGGCTTAGTCAGTTTTCTGTGACCTGTAACTATAGTGGTCCAAATCCAACATGTCCACAACCAGGCTGAGTGGATGTCCACTCACACAACAGGCATTTCCTTCTCCTTCTCCCCATTACATTTTCCTAAATATGCCACGGAGGGGCCCCCAGTCCTCTGAGGCAGAATGGCAGTATGTTGGGGCCACAAGGAATGCAATGTACTATTCCACACCACTGGGTACAACCCACTCTCAGAAATATAACACATGCCAGAACAATCTTTAACACTGGCTCGCCTCTGCATATATGAAGCCACATGTAAATTGGGTGTATATATTATACTGCCCAAACCCAGATAACATGTTATGTTATGCATGCCATGGTGTGAAATCTCTTGTTGAAAAACTGATTTTGAAAAAAAAATGCTGCAAACTGACCACATGAACATTCACGCAAAAATGTATTCTATAATACATAATGCAGATATTTAGGTTAAATGGAAGAAAGACCTACATATAAGCATCCCCTCAAAAAAGTAGCAATACTATTTAATTGAGGTACAGTATTTTTAGTAGCACAGAGCCTGGGGAAGATATTTTTCAAGATGGCTGCTCAGCAGCTTAATGCATTTTATCTCCACCACGAACAACATTGAAATGGATGCAATTTCCAGTAAAAAAGGGAACATTGGCCTCCTTAATTTTTCCTTATACCATCAGATTATTTGTGGACTCCTCCTGCAGTCTGGGCTTTTCCACTTAGATTTTCATCCCATTGGTTCTGGACTATTCATGCTTAGACCTTCTCTCTTGATAGATTGTGTTGGGTTCTCCACATACTCAGACAGAAAAGCAGCCTCACATAGTTATGTCAGCAAGAGAGGTGCGGCACACAATATCACAGCAATGACAGTTCGTTTCATTTTTACATGCAAAATTAACTTTATGGGAAACCCAGATGTAAGCAGTGACAAGAAAACATTTATCTGGCAGGCATGGATAAGCTGATTTTTGCTTTGAATCATTTACTGGGTTCTGATGATAATTTTCTGCCATTCTCTACTTTCCATGCTAAATATGATTTACCAGCTGCAGCTGAATGGCAATACCTGAAACTGAAACATTTATTGGAAACTAAGTTTGGCGCTGCAGCTTCAGAGTCACCTTCCTTATTAGAATTAAAGTTGACCAGATATATTGACCCATGATCCAGGTTTATAAATACTTATTATCAGTGATATACAGGGTCTTAAGCAAGAATGGAACTGCAAATTACCCTGTCTTACCCGGTCAGTAGATTGCTGCATTGGCATCTCGCTCAGAAGAGTCGATGGATCTTAGTTTACATCTTATTCAGCAAAAATGTATGTTCTGAATGCAACAATGACCGTTCAACAAGAGCTTCCCTACTTTGGCTCTGTTGGAGGGGTAGTGCATCTAATGCTTCTCTTATCTGTATCCAGTGCTCAGTGGTGCCTCTTTTTGGGAAAAGGAAACAGTTTAGACATATTGTACATATTTTCCTTAATTATTTACCTGTTTTTTAG